TTGAGACTCGAAAACCGATCTTTTTCTTTGAGCTACAGGTCTTCATAGGCTTCCATTTCAAACTCTGTTCGATGGCCGAATCAACGGTCCAGAAAGCAGGCCACTTCAGGAGAGCTTCAAGGCAGGGTTTAGAATGAGTAGATCGACGACTGACCACCTGTTTTGTGTCACTCAGATTATTGAAAAAAGAATGGCAGTAGGATAAGAGCCGCACTTAGCTTTCGTAGATCTTCAAAAAGCCTATGATAGTGTACCGCTGCTGAAACTCTGGGAAGCCTTGGAAAAATCTGGTTTCACTGGGGACTTATCGTAGCGATTAAGCGGTTTTATAGTGAGGCTTACTCCAAAATTTGGTGTCAAGGGAGGTTTTGCGAGGGTTTTTATGTAAACAAGAGATTAAAGCAGGGTTGTTGTCTTTCCCCCACTTTGTTTTAAGTTTTCTTGGAACAAGTTTTAAAAGAATGGAAAAGGAAGTGTTCTGGCGTGGTGGTTCCATTAAATGAGATCGACACCTTTTTCACTTTGTGCTCTGTTGATGACCAAGTGATGGTTGTACAGGATGCAGATGATGCGGAATACATGGCTGGAAAGTTGGTTGCTGAATATCGAAAGTGTGGCCTAGAAGTCAGCATTCGTAAAACAGGAAAGTTAACGGTGGGAGGCAATCAGCAAAGTATAGAGTTGGAGGATGGCCAGGAGACATAAACAATACAAGTTAGTGCTTAACATCGGATGGCAAAACGGACTAGGCAATCAAAGGTCGTAATCTGAGGGGAGGAAAGCCATTATCAAAAGCATATTAACCTATGGCAGCGAGGTATGGCAGTTAAAGAAACAGTCCTTGGACATTCTGAAGGAAACCGAAATAGACTACTGGCCTAGATCGGCCGGAATGTGGAGGTAGGATCACGTTCGGAATGAAAGGGTGCGTGAAATTATGGACTCCGGAAACAATATAGTGCATGACATTTTCACGAAACAGCTTGACAGGTATGGGCATGTGCAACTGGTACCAGATGATAGGTTGCCGAAGAAGATTCTGGATTGGGTCCCTTGGCAGAAAAAGTTGAGGATGCCCAGCCAAATCGTGGATTGAGGGGATAAGGCAAGAAATGGGGGGATGCGATCTGCCGAAGGAGCTCTGGCAGGATTGCTATCAGTGGCGGTTGGGTGTCGCAGAGCGCACAGAAGCGGTATAAGAGTGACTTAGTAGTACTAGTACGAGCAAAGCCAGCACACTGATCCGCATTTTGGCAACAATGCATTACCTGAGTATCTAAAATGATTAATAGTCGTCAGATCGATAGGTACTGTCGAAAAATTTGAGTTTCTCGTTTCTTATTAAAAGTCTCTTATACAACGCCACTGCAGCTTTTCCAAAGTGTTTTCCAATTTTTGAAGATTGTATGTAGCAACATCAATAGAATTTTAGCATTAATGATTCTTACAATTTTTGAAGGTGCGAGCAATGCTGAAGTACATTCGAGACCATCCATTTCCAGCAGTGACTGTGTTCCGGGATAATAGGCCTCATTATTACCGCAGGGATGAACATACCGGAGCTTGGATACCCCTTGGTTACTAGCCTTTTTACGTTCTTCAAACTATAATTTGCGCCGATGTTCATAATTAGGTTGGTACAAACATGTTAGCCTTGAAATGATTCCTAGAAAGAATCTGGACTCAATTAAAGTTGATACTTCAGTTGTTTATTAGACTCATGTTAGACATGTCTGATATATATTTAGGTATCTTATAGTACCTAACTGATCGCCACTCATTTCAGCCCTGAGCAATTCTCTTAAAAAAGCCTTGGATCATATGATACTTCATGTGTCAGAATTATCATTTTCATTCAAGAAGTCCTACATACCTCCTTCGAAAGTTTTTGGATTTCTGGACCTCTTGGATTTTTTCAGAACTTAGTTGAATCAAACACAATCCTATTCTAATTCGAGAGCAGAACAGATAATGATCAAAAGTTACCTCCCAAATTTAATGCCTCATTGTACACACCCCTTGCTTCCAATAAGTCATCAACGTAAATGAAAGTATGTTGTATTGTATTTTAAGGCTCACACACATATATTATTGATGGTACATTACATTATTTTAATAATGTCTTTACGTTTTAAGTTCAGTCAATTTTAAATTTTGAATCAGAAAGAAATATTGTGTAATTTTATCAAGAACAACTTGTCAATTTGTGTCCCTGTAAATTATTGCAATGAGACACTTGCATGTAACAGGAATTCGTAAGCTTAGATATAGATTCAATGCCAGAAAGGTGACGAATCTGAGATGTGTGATTTTATGAGGTCAAAGAGCGCTCAGCACTTTTTTTCGAAAACCTAGATAAAGGCTAATTATTGATAAATTAAGAATGAATGAAAATATATAATTTCTGTTCAATGCCCAAGGTTTGAGCTTGAAATTTTTGATCAATAATTTTCTATAAATACAAGGTCGTATGTACCGTGTTCTTGTGTTAATTGAATGAGTAGTCATAATTTATTTAAGAAAATGCTCATTTTTCTTAAACAAAGCCCTAAGCGAGTATTATTAAATCTACAACAATCAAAGCAGGGAAAAAATTTTGGAGCGTGCACGAATATGCAGAATCACTTCCCTTATGAGTCAGTTGTGCCTCTCTAAGAATTAAGTTTTGATTTTTTTGAGCTTATAGATTTGCAAAAAATAATCAAGATCTTTTCAAATGTCAAGTTTCTTTGCCGAATAACGGAGGTATTGCTTATCGAAATACACAGCGTTTGACATCATCCACTGCCAGTGCTGCACATTATGGATTTTTCCACCTTAGTAACATCTATGCTTATTATGTCAAGCTAACTAGTGCAAATGTGTATATGATTGATGATGCCAAGGTGGCAAAAACGATGGTAGGCACTACTGTGGTGGGGTTGGCATCATCTGTAGTGTATTTTGATGGGTGACGACCGTGACGGTTCTGTTTGCATTGGACGTAGAAACTTGGTGTTTGAATGGACCTTATAATTTTTTTCTAACTGAACTTAGACCACCGAAATTCGATTCTGTGACAAGCACAACTGACCCATTGTTACTAAACTTAGCCACTTTCATTTCAATTTTCTTTGTCACGAATATAATCTCTTTTATTAATCTTTTAATTTAAAAAACCAAAGAATTTTCATGCAAGTGCCTTATTCTTCTTTGCTTTTTTGACTACTCATAGGTTTGTTTGTTTTTTTTTTTTTTTTTTTTTTTTTTTTTTTACAATGAATGATTTTAATAGCCTTCCAAAGAAGATGCGTAATTTTTCAGGCTTTCAGATATTCTCTGCGTGGTTTTATGTCTGTTAACCAAGTTCTGGTGAGTGGTATGAGTTTTCTTAGAGGCTTTTTCATAGACATAGTCCATATTGCATCATTCCTATTTTAAGCTCTCTTGCCATAATTTTGGCTGTGATATCTTTGTTAATCAAACAATCATGTCTTATACTGTATGCTTTTTTATCTTTTTTTTAATGCGCCCCTTTTTGCGCAATTTTGCAGCAATTTGTTCAGTTTCAATGTGCAAACTGCCTCAATTATGCTGCTATAGTTTGCATTACTCATTGTTATCTATTTTCTTCTTCTTTTATCCTTTGCAAGGTTGATTTCTCGCATATTTTTCAATGTATTATATCACTTTTTTCTGAGAAATTGCACGTTTGCACCGAATCTAGCTTTGGAGAGGAAGATTTTTGCTCTATCAGTAGCTGACATTAAGTTATTTTTTTATTGTTTTTGATTGCCTATTACCATGGTTTGGATAACTATGAATTAAAATATCCAAGAAAATGGTATCTGTTCGAGTTCGAAAGCTACACCATGCGTGCCAAAAGCTTGTGATGAGCCAATAGAATTATCCACTCTCTTGATAAGATTCTATGATAGCAATAATTTCTGAAATGAAATAGCAGCATTGTTGAAGAAAGGACCAGTGTGTATTTAGGAATTATTATGACAGGTAATATTCACTTTTGTCTTCCTGAAGAACCCAGAACAGTGACCAAATTCGAAGGGGGACAGAGTTCCCATCCATGAGCACCTGTGATGTCCAAAGGTGCCTTTTAGTCTTTAAAGTGGTGAAATAATAAGTAGACTTGTCAGCCTCTGTTATGTGTTGGTCAAGGCAGTTCGCTGCCAACCCTGAGGTCCGAGGTTCAATCCCCGGAGGTGACAGATATTTGAGGACACTCCAATTTCAGTCATCGTGACCGTGGATGACTATGCCACTCCAAAACCCTGACCCTTCAAGGTAACAGGGTGCGGGAGAGACATAGTCACCCAGTAAGTAATCCGTCTGCACTGGGTTGGGAAGAAATCGGTGATCACTCGTGATGTGCGCGACTGCCAGCGTTACTTATCAGTGGGGATTGCAACAACACAGTACAACTCAGTGGAGGCATGTCCGTGCTCCAAAAATCCGTGCTCTGCAGCGTCTGCCACAGTCTTTGATAAGACCTATCGTTGGCTATCAGACGGTCGCTGAGCCTCGCGGGAATATAGAGGTTACACAATGCGTCAGTAGTATGAAGTTAAGCAGTACGGTCCAACTTCAGGGTGCAAGACAGCAGTAGCCAGTTGCCTTGGCCCCTTGAGGGTGCCTCGCCAGTAAGCCCGGCCCTTACTTACTTACCTACTTAACAAGTAGACCTAAATTTTTTTGAGGAAAAAAATACAAAGTGTCATACTTTACTTACCTAAGCGTTTTGTAGAAAATGCAATGGCGTTGAATCAGCCTTCTTTTTCAAGCCCTTCACCTCAATTTAGGGCTAGTTTAACTCAGAGGCAAGTCCTCTAGTTTTGCTTCGATATGGTTCTAACCAGAAGTTATGTTTCACTTTTTCTGTGCATCAGAATTCATTGCAATCTATTATGATTCTGCAAGTAATTTTCTAATTAAATCTTTTGTTTTTTCACTACTTGGCTTAGGTAGCACCTCTCAATAGACACAATTCAAAAAAAGCCAAATAATATATGCTGCCAACTGAACTTGGTCCCAACCTCAGTAGGCCCAAGTAGGAAAAAAAACTGCATTTAACTAGCATCCCAGGGCATTTAGGTAACATTGCATTGAACGCAGCCTGTGAACCCCATATTAGTGTTTTAAGCAGTAATAATAGGCAGGCTTCATCATGCAGTGTGTTATGTATAGTTTTCTGGAGGCCTTTTTCTCTCTCTCATATTTTAGAGGCCAGTATCTCAGATTATCTCCACTTTTTTCAATTTGAGTATTGCATCATAGAGAGTAAAATTGAAGACAATGTATACTTAAGTGGGACTTCTCCCTTTAAAATTCAAGACTTGCTTCGGTGATTTACTTGTTCATTTTTAGAAATGTAATTATTTTAAGATGCAGTCCTTAGGGAGGCTTGGGGTTTTCCTTTTTTTCAAAGCCAAAAATTAGTGGTAAAAAAACAGTGCTCCTAACAGTGTTCGAAACTCACATTGGAGTTTCAAGAGCTATGTGGCGCATCAAGGTCGATTTTTAGGGGCCATTGAAGATTTTGTAGGGGCTAATTGACTTTTTCCTATGGATCACGGCGCATTTAGTGACAAGTTAGACGCAAGATGTTTTAGTTACAGTACTAGTAGCTGTTACCAGGGGGAAATTTCGAAAGATCATCTAACATAATAACAATGATTTTTTTTTTTTGGGAGGGGGGGGCAACTTTTAGGGGGCACGATGGCGCAGAGCCGTCATTTTTTAGGCGCGTTGACACCTGTGAGTTTCGAACACTGGCTCCTAACCATCCTGACAAAGAACCTTTTTTTATATTGAAAGGATGGGATCTTAAACCTGACTCGATTGGCAACCGCACAAGAAAATTTTTAAAAAAATTAATAAAAACTTACTCGCAAGGTTAAAATGCAGACAAGCTTAAGGGTCAGGCCCATCTTCAGTTCGACTCCAATTTATCACTTAAAAACCTGAAAGAAGGTTCTTCTTCAAGACAGTTGGAAACACGTTTTTTACTACCCATTTTCGAATTTTGAAAGAGAGCAAGTATTGAGGTACCCTTGCAGTATGACTTGTCCAACAAAAGGACTCCCGTTCGTCTGATTTTAAAAACACAAGTTGTAGTAAATGGATACCTGATACCGTAAACTGTCATCAACTTTCCATCCCTTTCAATCCTTTTTCAAAACGATAATAATCAACTCAGAGGCCTACTAGGTAAGTATGTTTCATCAGTGGTACGATTTGACATGATGGGAAAGTTTCAAAAATTGTCTAATCATATGTATGTCCCTACTAAAAGACAGTGATTTCTCTTATTCTACCTTATTACGTACATTCCTCCATTTGCTTTCTGCCAGATGATGGTCGTTCAGTCACTCTTAACAATTTTTGCTCAATTTAGATAAATGACTAGGTACATTTTAATTATATTGTACATTCTTATTTTATACAAATGCACTCCTCTGCTCCAAATCTTGTTAATGTTGTTGAAAACATGAGCCTTTTGTCAAAATTTTGTTAAGATAACAATTCTCAGTGTCAGCATGGGAACTGTATGGAAATCTCAAGGTTGGTCCCTCCAAATAAGAAGGAACAATGTATCTTACATGTTGTTTTTACCTTTACTGTATTTCTTTATTTGTTTTTTAACTGTTCACATTTTCATCAATCTGGCGATGATTCTATAGCTTCCTTTATAGTTGGTCGCTGATCTAGAATAACAACCAGTTTTGACATCATTTAATTTTATTCCCTCTTCTTTTATTTCAGTAAAATTTCTTGTTTAGATTTCCAACAGGATATTCAATATATTGTTTATGATTCTTTTTATTAAGTATCAAGGAATGATGAGTCAATCAGCTAACTCAAAATCGAACAGATGTTATGCTGTTAAGTTTATCAAATTATTTTTTTAGAAATTGTTACGTTTTATATTTATTTATATTATTTATATATTACATTGACATTGACATTGTAAAAATAGGTAGGCTTAATTTCTTTACAATTAAAAGTTATATTTTATCTAAATCGTGTTTTATTCTTTTTTCCTTTTAACATTATTCAAGATGGGAACTTTTGCATAGTGTGCTTACACAAATGACTGTGAGTGGTGGACCGTCATTTACAACCATGCTACTATTTTGTGAAGATTATGTCAGCATATGAGCTCCGGGCATGGCTTTCAAGCATAAACTAATAAAAGCAATAATTTGGAAGAAGATACAGAGAGAGATTTTCAAAGACATTTTCGTAGTATTTCATCATCTCCCAAATGAAACTCTAAGACTAGTTTCAAAGCAGAACTAATTTGCCTGTAGAGTTTTACAGTACTCGTTTATCAATTCATAACCTGTTTATGTAGTAAATTTGATCAATTACGCTAATTGAAAGAGCCTGTGAGGTCTTTACTAACACTTAATTACTTTAAAAAAAAAGATTAATTTTCAAGAGGTAAAGAATTTTTGGACAGAAATTTCTCATCGTTTTTCTTGATTTTTGAAAAAATATTCGAACAGGAAGAGTAGAAACTGCAGTTTGCAATCCTGGACATTTTGATCACATTAGCTTATTTAAATTCTAAAGAATATGCGGAAATACTTAGATAAAGATAAGCTGCATTTTTCGTGTGTTTACTAACCAGGAGAATAGTCCCGGTTATTGAGCAGTGATAATTTCAAAAGAAAACATTTTTATTTTCACGAAGAGGACAAAGAAAAAAAATAAACGGTACAAAAAAGTTATTTGAAATACATAGCAATATTTCTGCAGAACACCAATGAAGGATAGCAAAAAATTAAAAATCGCTCAAGAAGTCAAAAAAAAAAAAAAAAAAAAAAAACCTTTGCACACATTAATTTGCACATGCAAATGATCACATGAAATAGTAAAGTATTTCCTTAAAAATTGAAAGGTAAATTAATTTAGATGATAAGGTGAGGTCGGGTAACTGGGCAAGAGTTCGGAGGAAAAAGTCAAAATTTCAACTTCAAGATTTTTTCCCATCATTATATTCACAGTAGAGGCTCTTTTTTATTTTTTTTTTTTAGCATGTATAACACCTAGTCTAATTTGTAGGACAAGTCAAAAGTAAAATTTCATCTACCCAACGATGTTGAGTTACTGGACTAAACCCCCCCCCCCCCATAATTTTTGAGGAGGGAATTGTTTTCAATTCTAATTGACAGAAGGTGATGTCCTCCTCATGGAGATTTAAGAAAATGTCATTTAAATTTGTATAAAAATGTTTAAGTTGTTGAAAATGATGTTGTAACAGTTGGCTGCAAAAATCCCCTCAAATCTGAGAATTGACTAACAGTCAAAAAAAAAAAATATTTCCTTCTTGATAAATGCTTAGAACTTGCAGTATTATTACTACCTATGAAGAATTATTATGTTTCAAGACACTTTTTGGCCAGTTTCAGTAAAATTAAGAATGATAAATTTTTAAAGAATAAGTAAAAAACCTTAAGCCGCAAGGCTGATTGCGGTAGAGTAAAGCGCCAAAAAGTTCCTGTCTAAGCAAGTAACTTTAGATGTTATTAAATTCATTATAGGATATGAGGTTCATGAATGATATTTTGACTGAATGGAATGAAATAACAAACACTTTTAATAAAGATTAGAAGGGGGCAGATGGCATCTGCCCAGTTACCCTACGAAGGGAAAATGTTCAAGGTAACTGGGCATCAGCCCTTTGCAGCCAATGTTTTCATCCGATAATGTTGCAATTGCTCACTCATTACACAAATACATCATATAGATTACATATTGCAATAAGGAACCACTATCTTTAGCTTTTTCATAAAAGTACATTTCTGCACTGGGAAACCAAAGACAAATATGTTGTTTCTAAAATTAGCCTGAAACAGAGGTTCCTTATTGCAAAATGTAGTCCATATATGAAGAGGAAATGTCCAAGTTGAATAAAATATTTACTAGGAGTGAAGTATAAGGCTCTTTGAGAAAAACTTTGTTCATTCTGACATTATTCAGTTCATATAAAAACAAAATTCCAGTGAAGAACTGATTGTGAGTGAAGCCCGCTTAAGGTGATTTGTCAAGCTCAAGTGATGTGGTCGAACTGGCATGCGATACAGCCCATCGATTAGGTAAAAAATCTCGGCAGATTATGAATTTTTAGCAGAAAGAACTAAAGAAGGACGAAAACCCCTGCACATGAGCCTGAAGAATCATTCTAAACCCAAAAATCGGCAAAATTCAGAGAAATGAAAGCAGAAGAGTGTTTGGGAAAAACCTCCCATTCGATACAGAAATGGAATAGCTGAATCGAATGCGAGGTTTTCTTCCTAACACTATTCTGCCTTAATTTCTCTGAATTTTGCCGATTTTGGGGTTTAAAATGATTCTTTAGGCTCATGTGCAGGGGCTTTCGTCCTTCTTTTTGCTAAAAATTCAAAATCTGCCGAGAATTTTTTCCTAATCGATCGCATGCCAGTTCGACGATGTCACTTGAGCTTGACAAATCACCTTAAATCATAGGAAAAGGTCCGGTGATTCGGGCCTATATTTTAGTCATTATTTGCATTTAGGAAGTAGGAACATGTAGGAAGTAGTTTCTATGTAAGAAGGGCTTGAAATGAGCCAGACCCATTCTGATTTAGCCGAGTGGCATTAGCTCTGCTTTCAGGTTCAGGTTTGTTCGGGGAATTAATGCCTAGAATACCCTTTGAAAATGAATTGTACACCCTGTGTATTTCCTTCCATATTTAAAATCTGAACTTTAGATACTTTAAAAAGTTTAAGAGAATTAGCATCCAGTTTTTCCTTTTCAACAACATCATTTCTGTTAAAATTGACATTTTTCTTCTAATGGAAGAACGATAAAAATACATATCCTGATCTAATTATGACAGGAAAATTGTCGGACAATTATTTGAAAATAATTAAAGGAGTTAAATTAATGGACAATAGATCAGAAGTTTCTTTTCACAGATGTTGGAGTAGATTCATCTCGATGGAATTATCCAAAAACTCTCACTGCATTTCTCTCAGTTTTGTGATCTATCCTTCTTTTAACCTGAAATTCTCTTAAAGAATGAATTATTTTGAATGATCTTTCAGGCAGATGATGCGACACCTATCCCTCTGCTTGATTGCACAGATACCTCATTTTTTTCAATTTTTACCACGGGCAAGTACATTTTTCCTTGACTCCATCAAAAATGACTACCTACCTGATCTGTAAGGCCCTGTCTACACGAGCGTGGTTCGAGGAACTTATTCGACGAACTGCTCAGTTCCCGGAACTTGTTCCTTAAAACGAGGCATGCTGTCCACACGAGTTCGCCCGAACTGGAACCGGAACTTCAATAAAACTATTCAATTATTGAAAAATAATAGATTATTACGGCTGCCAAAGTAACAAAACTAAATGTCACGACAAGTAAAGGACGTAAAAAACAAAAAGAAACAAATTCACATCAAAAGAAACATATATAGAAGCTCGGAGTACGGGGGAAGTTCCAGGTTTTGGAGGAATAAGTTTTTAGCTCAGCTAGAACTTGTTCCGGGAACATGTTCCTCGAACAAAGCTCCGCGAACCAACTCGTGTGGACAAGACATGTCTTTTTACAGAGTTTTTGGATGCCTGCTTGGTCTGGCTGAAAGATGCCACATAATGTCAAGAAAACTAATTATGTAATTGGAATTTTAAGGAATTTGAGTTAAGATTCACAACATATATTTAATTGAAATTGCTTCATGGATTTAGTTTGTGAGCACCAGCCAAAATTTAGGAAAACTGTAAAGAATGTGCATAGATATCTTATGCATTACAGATGAGAAATTTCCTAATGCTTTGTGCCCCTACACTGTGCCAATTTAAGTAATGTGGCTCAGTTTTATGGATTGTAGTCTGACTTGACTATAAATTTTCGATTTATACATACTTGAGACTTTCATAAATCAAAGGAAAAAATCTACCTAAGAAGTACTATCTGACATCACGGGTTTTGGGGCTCTTATTAGTACCTAATGTAGATTTTTATCTCAGATGATTTAAGGCAACTTTCAAGAACGATATCAGGTTTTTTTTCCTGGGAAAAAACAATGTTTTGGGCAACCCTGGGTTCTTACTCATTGAGCTGATTTAAGTTTCAAAATAGAAGTATTAGTGAGCACTTCACATGAGCACATTCAGTTATGCTGAACAGAAAGTTGAAATCAGGTTAGAAGTTTTTGCGAAAACAACCGGTTGATTTTTTAAATTTTGTCACCCACAGGTTACATGCCACTTTAAAACATCTGCTGAAATAATCGGACAGGTTTCAATTTTAAGAAGTTTAATATGAATTCCAAAAAAAGAAAACGTAACGGTAAGCACGAACTGGTGGCAAGAATGAGACTGCAGAACTACCGAGTAATTATGGAAGTGAATTTATAACTGAAGCTTTGAATAAGTATGTACAATGACGGATAGTGATGTGAAGCAGAGTGATTGAAATTGCTAGGAGATAAGGTTTAAAATCTTCCCCTCAGACCCACAATAGAACTCATCCGAACACTGCAGCATCTTTACTCGGCATCGATCTCATACAAATGGCAATTGTTCAACATGAGCTGGCTTTCACTCTTGGAATGGTACTTTGTAAGGGTTCAACAGTATACAACAGGAATATAAAATTACTTAGCAACTTCTAAACTAGTGGAGGGACGAGGTTCATTGTCACTATCATCAGAGCTGATATCTCCCAGATCATCCAACATACCTTTCACTTTCTTCTTCTTCTTCTTACCTTTCTCTCCGTATTCCGACTTGCGTTTCAGCTCTTGCGGTGCTGCCTTGAAACCTTGCTCAACGGAGTCAGTGATTGTTTCAGCTAGTTTTAGTCTTTCTTCTGTATATTTTTCGTCCTTGAATTCATGTTTGGGCTCCTTTAGCAACTTCTCCAACTTCTTCTTCTTGCGTTCTTCGGCTTCTCTCTCTCGGTCTGCCTGCTGGGCTATCCAGTTCTTTAATCGTTGTTCTTCATTAATATCTCGCAATCGCCTTCCACTAAGATCTCTACAAGCTTCTCGGTTTGTAGTTTTTTCGATTTGAGCACCAATGGCACGTAGCATTGATCCAAAACCACCTTTCCCACCGCAAAGTTTGGGCACCATTCGCACTATGAGCTCTCTGTCAGCAAATACTGAGTCATCGTATAAAAGCTTACCATTCACCATAAAATAGAAGTCGTCGGAGCTTCTGAGGTAAGGATATTTAGATGAGAAAATCATTTTGATTTCTTGACCCGTCAATTCTTGATCAGATTTTGTGGTTAAATTTTCACACAGGGCCATTATTGTGCGATACTTAGAAGTTTTCAGTCCAACTATCCAAACGTACTCAGGCTTCCATGTGAAGTCAAATTGAAAGATAGAGCTGACACGAAAAAATGACGATTTTTCCAGGTTAACAATTACGATTACTAAAATCCAAAAAACTTCACAGTCCACAGATACAGGAATACAGACAGAAGTCAACACAGATTTCGGGTGCAGAGCAGATTGCAAAACGACGGTGGTGGCGCGACTGCGGATTGCACAGGAGTTAGGGCCAGAGAGTATAGAAGGTTAGAGGGCCGACTCAATGCTAGGTAATTGAAACAGAAGCGCTCGCAGCGCGCTCGCTGGCAACGTACGCAACTACTATTTTCTATTGTTTTCCAGTGACTAGCGGCGGGTATGTTGCTGCCGGACCACCTCCACGTAGGCAATTTTTTATACACCGTCCGTCCGCAACTCTTGCTTAGCCAATCAGCGCAGTGGTATGGGATTCCGCTCGCCGCGCACTCTCGCGCCAACGTACGCAACTGCTTGCTCACGGCTCCAACTTCTGTTTCAATTCTTCCCTATCCAGTCGGGCCTCTAACCTTCTATACTAGACCGTGGGCCAGCAAGGGGTAACCCTCCTATGGGTTTCCTTCCGTAAACCTCTCGCGGGCGGGAGACGTTACCGGAGGGGGGAGAGTCATGTGAAGCGGGCGCACCACCCCTTCCCCTCCCCCTCCCCCAAAAAATAATCACGAAAAAATGTAAATAAACGCGAAAATTCCATACTCTAAAAGGCGACTTTCAGGGCGTGTCATTGTCACGCTCACACTAATATAATTTAATGAGGGGAGGGGGGGGGGTTAGACATCTTAGCCTCCCCAGCCAACATTACAAAAGGGTGGGGAAGGGGTAATTTATAAACGTTACTTACTTAATAATTGGAGGGACGGGGAAACCTAGCTGCAGTAGGAGAATTTTAAGATTTGAAGGGATAACTAATTAAATCAGGGAACGTCGAGATACTATTTTATTTTTTGGGAATGACTGAAACTGAGGGGAGTTTATTCATAATTGACGGAAATGTACATTCTTAAGCTTATGTCAACATTTTTGAAACGTTTGGAGAATAGGCTCAAAGTGTATTGGATCGTTTGCCAAAGTATTCAATCATTCATTTGGTCACAGATAGAAACTGAAGTGATAAATTTATCAAAAACATTCAGCTATTATGGGGGGGATTAAGGGATACTTTTTCACGAAATAAGGACCCCCAACCAAAATATCCCGTAGTTTGAAAAGTAATTTAGGCAAGTGTAAAAACAAGAACCAACTTATCGATCTATTCTTAACTGAATGGAACCGAAAGAAATACGCCCAATATACTCACTGGAAAAAGTATATTTAAGGCATGGAGGAGGGTCTACCCAGTTTACTTCCGCTGACGGAGTGAAAGTTGACTTCATCTTGCAAACTCAATAAAAATCAAACCAATAAGAAGCAAACACTCAAATAATTTAGCTTTTTTCCGAGTCGAACTATCTTGATAACTATTCGTCAATGAGAGTTCACTGCAGTATCTGTCTGTGACCAAATGAATGATTGAATACTTTGGCAAACGATCCAATACACTTTGAGCCTATTCTCCAAACGTTTCAAAAATGTTGACATAAGCTTAAGAATGTACATTTCCGTCAATTATATGAATAAACTCCCCTCAGTTTCAGTCATTTCCAAAAAATAAAATAGTATCTCGATGTTCCCTGATTTAAATACGTATCCCTTCAAATCTTAAAATTCTCCTACTGCAGCTAGGTTTCCCCGTCCCTCCAATTATTAAGTAAGTAACGTTTATAAATTACCCCTCCCCCACCCTTTTGTAATGTTGGCTGGGGAGGCTAAGATGTCTAACTCCCCCCCCTCCCCTCATTAAATTATATTAGTGTGAGCGTGACAATGACACGCCCTGAAAGTCGCCTTTTAGAGTATGGAATTTTCGCGTTTATTTAAATTTTTTCGTGATTATTTTTTGGGGGAGGGGGAGGGGAAGGGGGTGGAAGAGGAGGGGGGAGGGTAAACCCTCTCATCTCCCCCCCTCGTTAAATTATGTTAGTGTAAGCGTGTCAGTGACACGCCCTGAAAGTCGCCTTATAAAGTGGAATTTTCGCGTTAATGAACATTTTCCGTGATTATTTTTTGGGGGGGAGGGGGAGGGAGGAGGATGTACCTCCCTCCCCCCTGTCACCCCCTACAAGAATCCACATTGATGTTCTCTCAGAACAAACGCTACTTGTTTTCATTTTGCCGCCCATTTTCGAGCATAACGCTACTTCAAGGAAGCGGCCAATCTTGACGGTTTTTATGGGGTGGGTACTGCTGGGGGGGCCCCCTCCCCCCCCCACGAGGGGTTAGGCCGGCCCTCGAATGAAAAATTAATGCTCTATTATTCTAGGGGTAAACAATTTTACGATGATACCAACCTTCTTCGCGTTATTGGCGAGAAATCGCGGCGAAACGGTCATTTTCGCGGAAATTTGAGATATTTTGACATTTGAAGCCCCCCCATTTTGGGGAACCGCGGGTCCTTGTCAAAGTCAAACAAAACTTTTCTGGACCAAAATTTTACGAGCTTTCAGAATGGTTATTTGGAGTTTTGCCCTAAAATCAAGCCTTTTCGAGAAAAATGGGGAAATTCGCGGGAAAGTCGGAATTCTGAGCAATTTTGGGGGGTTTAGGGGGGCCTACTCCCCCCCCCCNGGGGGGGGGGGGGGGGGGGGGGGGGGGGGGGGGGGGGGGGGGGGGGGGGGGGGGGGGGGGGGGGGGGGGGGGGGGGGGGGGGGTTACCCCTTGCTGGCCCATAGTCTATACTCTCTGGTTAGGGCGCTCCGCGAGAATATATGAACAATACCTATATGAATCGTGTGGCTCATTTTAGAACTTTGACTTTTAGAAGTTTTCTTGTCCGGACTGCGGGCCGAACGCTGCCTTTTTTTAACGGTATATTAAAAAGAAGTGCAGGTAAAGGGGAATTGTGTCGATATAAAAGAAGGGGCAGTGGACTGATTAATCGGAATAACTGGTCAAACAGTGGTTGCCCAGTTTTGAGAGTGATTCTTTTCGCTCTAAATGTTTTTACTTTTTTCTTTAGGCCTTGTCTCCACCGGCCTTTTCACGAGATTTGTCCCAGGGTTAAATCCCACTTACGAAGTTGGGAAAAATATGAAAGCTACGGAACCTTAGGCGCGTCTGGACGCGGCGTCCTGGACGCCGGCGGAAAATGCTGCTACCGAGTCGAGGGCGAGAAGACGCTCACATTTTGGAGCACGGCACCATAAGAGCGAAATCCGTGGATTTTTTCCGCTCTGTCCGCCGTCAATTTCTCGAATTTTCGTTGATCGGACAGTATGCTCTGGGCCAAGACCAATCCACACAGGTCAGTCATTCCCGTGGACGAGTTTTGGTATTCTACTGCGCAGTGACGTACTATTGAGTGCTTGCAATGTATTTCTTATGGGAGCACCCATTGTGACGTACTATTGAGTGCAGCCGAGTTAGGGCCGGGCGGGGAAGTGGCTTTCAAAAAGATGCGCAGTGACTGACCTGTGTGGATTGGTCTTGCTCTGGGCCGCGAAAATGGCTAGCTGTACGCGCTTTTTTTTAGGAGGGTGTGGATTCGATCGACAAAAATCGACCGAAAAATAAAAACGTGAATCGATCGACACAAATCGATGGACAAATTACTAAAAAACGGGTGTCGATTCGATCGACAATAAATGTGGATCGATAGACGAGAAATGATTGACAATTAAAAGGAAAACCGGTATCTAGTCAATCGACATGAATCGATCGAAAAACCAAAACGTGAACCAATCGACGTAATTCGATCGATTCACGGGTTTGTCGATCAACTCACAGGTTTGTCGATCGACTCATAGGTTTGTCGATCGATTCGCAGGTTTGTCGATCGACTCATAGGTTTGTCGATCGATTCACAGGTTTGTCGATAGACTCACAGGTTTGTCGATCTATCCACGGCTTTTGTCGATTGATTCACGGAATTTTCGATCGATTCGCGGCTTTTGTCGATCAATTCACGACCTTTGTGATCGATTCGTGGGTTTGTCGAACTAAACACATTCAAAAATCGGTAGGAAAGGCAGCGGACTGAGCGGAATTTCTCGGCGTCTTCGCTCCGATCTGTTCGCGACAGATCGGAGCGTCCTCGATCGGCGTTTTCCGCAGCGTCTCTTCGCCGCTAAGGTGCCGTCCCCGCGCAAAAATCATTAGACAGATTTATCGGCGTCTGGACGCCGCGTCCAGACGCGCCTAAGGTTCCGTACCTTGAGTTAATCAATATTTTTCCCAGTGCCAAGTATGGTACTTGTACCCCTAGGGCCCACTGAGAGGAGAAGAAGAAGTGAAAACGAATTGTGCGATATTTTATTCATTACTACATTGCTCATGTTTGTTTAGTTAAAATAATGTGTCTAATTGACCGTTGAGCGGTGCCGGACACGGGAGCTGTCAGCAATAGATTTCGGGTGCACTGCAGATTGCGAAACGACGGGTGGCGCGACTGCGGATTGCACAGGAGTTATGGCGCTCGTATGATGTAAACAAACTTTGGCCGCGGGATTGAAGAATTGAATCTCCAAATTGAATCGGACATCTGAGGAACTAACGAACAGCTTGTGGGCTGTAAAAATTGACGACCTGTAATACAGATGGACAAGATTCTAAAAACTCTCTGACTTTTAAAAAGGGGTGGCGGGGGATTCAAAACAAGTTGATGCTGTACATGCTAAAGTAGGTTTTATATATATGAAGCGGAAAATGTATTAAAAATTAGAAATTTAGAAAATATTGACCCATCAAAAACTAATTATTAATAAATGTATATACATGAATTATGGTTTGTGTTGTAACGTCACCATCAACTGGTACCCTGGGATGTGACCTCAAAATGCCATTATCAAGACGTCATCCAAGGATGACTCCATGACGTCATCAACGAGACTCGTTTCCATCGACGTCATCGACAGGTCCTCCATGACGTCATCAACGGACGAGTCTATGGCGTCCTTGAT